GTTGTTAACACACAGTACTAGTATTCTTCAGAACGGTCCCGATCCGTGCTTGTCTTCCAGTATTAAACACATAGACGTTCTGTTGAGTCTTTTTTTCACACTCAGAGACTCTGCATTTACACCTATATTTTATGACCCACCTGCTTGTCTTGAGGAAATTATCGATTGTTTCTTGGAGTGATACGATAACAAATACAACCTAAACTGTACCTCACTGCAAAAGTATCCGACCACGTGATTTGCGGTAGGGCTTGGTTCCAAAATGGAAGTCACGTGACTATTGATAGAATGGTAACTATACAACACGTGCAGGCGAATGTGACCAATGTGATTGATTTAGGTCACGACTCCCACTGTGCGATGGATCAGACAGTCAGGCACTCGATGTGGAGTCTCTGAGGCCGTGGACAAAGTTTGCAGGTAGATATAGACATTTGCAATTGATGGGATTTATCAGGTAGTAAATCATTGTTTGACGCGTGCTGAACGCCTGACAGCTGTCAAAACAAAGTCATCTCAAATGTCAAGTGTTGATCGCTGATCGGGTGATCGGGAAACTAACCACGGTAATCTGTTTCATTTGACTACAAGTTTTCTAAATGGCTTTGTGTATTCAAATGTTGTGAAGAGAGGTCTGACGTAATTCAATTCTCAGCGATTTTTTCACACGTGAAAGGCAATTCGGCCCCATCATTCAGTCTCAGTGAGGAGGAGTCGATATGTTTATTTCAGTGAGGGTGTACACCGGGTGGCCATATAACGTTTCACATAATTGTACCAGCTATACCAAGTTGGTCACACAATATTCATTGACGATTCAGTGGCGGATCCAGAGGGGGGGGGGGGGGTGTTTCCCAGGGGTTCGAACCCCTTTTGAAAATGACTAAAGACCACATTGAAGTTAATGTTTTGCAATGGCAGAGCCAAGGTGGGGTCAAACCCCCTGAACACCCACCACCACCCCCACCTTTGAAAATCTCTTGATCCGCTTATGCGATCTATCACAAAGTAACACCATGCAACATGTATCTTATGAAGATTGACATCTCCAGTGTGTATACTGTATGAAATTATAGGTCACATTAATTTTTTAATAATATATTTATTGAAATCCTTGACTGGCATTTGGAGGCAGAACATGATGCATGAACATTTAATGGATAAAAACTTCTATATTGTTTGGGAAAACTTTTCACAGATAATCTAGCCTTTTCATTTGGTGAGAAAGGCTATCTCATGCTACGTATAATAAGCTCAGTCTATGTTTATCAGATACACATCAGTAAATGAATATGAACCTGAGAAACACAGTTGTCAGTTACATGTATTGGGTATATATTGGGTTTCATTGAAAATAGATTGCTAGTCACAGATGTGTTGTGAATGTGTTTAAAGTGGAATTTGAATGTATTTCCCACTCCTTGTTACCCTCAGGATTCCATTAAATAACCCGAAAATGACCCTGACCACTCAGATCAGATCAGTTGATACAGGATTGTGTGCTAAGAGTCAGCCCTGTCTACTCAGTCTCATTATCCTTGCAATGGGTATGGAGGATTGTAGTCACTGGGGCATACAGGATTGTACAGGATTGTAGTCACGGGGGTATACGAGGATTGTAGTCTCTGGGGTATACAGGATTGTAGTCACTGGGTTATACAGGATTGTAGTCACTGGGGTATGCAGGATTGTATTCACTGGGGTATACAGGATTATAGTCACTCGGGTATGGAGGATTATAGTCACTGGGGTATGCAGGATTATAGTCACTAGGGTATGCAGGTCATTGAGGAGTCACTGGGGTATACAGGATTGTAGTCACTGGGGTATGCAGGATTGTAGTCACTGGGGTATGGAGGATTGTAGTCACTGGGGTATGCAGGATTGTAGCCACTGGGGAGGATTGTAGTCACTGGGGTATGCAGGATTGTAGTCACAATGGGGTATGCAGGATTGTAGTCACTGGGTATGGAGGATTATAGTCACTGGGGTATACAGGATTGTAGTCACTCTATGGAGGATTATAGTCATACAGGATTATAGTCACTGGGGTATGGAGGTTATGTAGTCACTGGGGTATGCAGGATTGTAGTCACTGGGGTATGGAGATTATAGTCACTGGGGGGTATACATCATTATAGTCACTGGGGTATACAGGATTGTAGTCACTGGGGTATACAGGATTGTAGTCACTGGGGTATACAGGATTATAGTCACTGGGGTATGCAGGATTGTAGTCACTGGGGTATACAGGATTATAGTCACTGGGGTATGCAGGATTGTAGTCACTGGGGTATGGAGGGTATCACTGGGATATGGAGGATTATAGGATTAGGATTATAGTCACTGGGGTATGCAGGATTATAGTCACTGGGGTATGCAGGATTGTAGTCACTAGGGTATGCAAGGATTGTAGTCAATGGGGTACTGGAGGATTATGCAGGATTATAGTCACTGGGGTATCACAGGGTATACAGGATTTGTAGTCACTGGGGTATACAGGATTGTAGTCACTGGGGTATGCAGGATTCACTAGGGGTATGCAGGATTATAGTCACTGGGGTATACAGGATTATAGTCACTGGGGTATGCAGGATTGTAGTCACTGGGGTATGCAGGATTATAGTCACTGGGGTATGCAGGATTGTAGTCACTGGGGTATGCAGGATTATAGTCACTGGGGTATACAGGATTATAGTCACTGGGGTATACAGGATTATAGTCACTGGGGTATACAGGATAGTCACTAGTCACTCACTGGGGTATACAGGATTGTAGTCACTGGGGTATACAGGATTGTAGTCACTGGGGTATACAGGATTATAGTCACTGGGGTATGCAGGATTGTAGTCAATGGGGTATACAGGGTTGTAGTCACTGGGGTATGCAGGATTGTAGTCACTGGGGTATGGAGGATTATAGTCACTCGGGCATACAGGATTGTAGTCACTGGGGTATGCAGAGTTGTAGTCACTGGGGTATGCAGGATTGTAGTCACTGGGGTATACAGGATTATAGTCACTGGGGTATACAGGATTATAGTCACTGGGGTATACAGGATTATAGTCACTGGGGTATACAGGATTGTAGTCACTGGGGTATACAGGATTGTAGTCACTGGGGTATACAGGATTATAGTCACTGGGGTATACAGGATTGTATTCACTGGGGTATACAGGATTGTAGTCACTGGGGTATACAGGATTGTAGTCACTGGGGTATACAGGATTGTAGTCACTGGGGTATACAGGATTGTAGTCACTGGGGTATACAGGATTATAGTCACTGGGGTATGGAGGATTGTAGTCACTGGGGTATGGAGGATTGTAGTCACTGGGGTATACAGGATTGTAGTCACTGGGGTATACAGGATTGTAGTCACTGGGGTATACAGGATTGTAGTCACTGGGGTATACAGGATTATAGTCACTGGGGTATACAGGATTGTAGTCACTGGGGTATACAGGATTGTAGTCACTGGGGTATACAGGATTATAGTCACTGGGGTATACAGGATTGTAGTCACTGGGGTATACAGGATTGTAGTCACTGGGGTATACAGGATTGTATTCACTGGGGTATACAGGATTGTATTCACTGGGGTAGGATAGGCACATTATGTCACTGGGGTATACAGGGTTGTAGTCACTGGGGTATGGGGGATCAGAGTATAGTCACTGGGGTATACAGGATTGTAGTCACTGGGGTATACACTGGGGTATACAGGATTATATTCACTGGGGTATACAGGATTGTAGTGACTGGGGTATACAGGATTGTATTGACTGGGGTATACAGGATTGTAGTCACTGGGGTATACAGGATTGTATTGACTGGGGTATGCAGGGGTGACTGGGGTATACAGGATTGTAGTCACTGGGGTATACAGGATTGTATTGACTGGGGTAGTAAGAATCGTATTGACTGGGGTATGCAGGATTGTATTGACTGGGGTATACAGGATTGTATTGACTGGGGTATACAGGATTGTATTGACTGGGGTATACAGGATTGTATTGACTGGGGTATACAGGATTGTATTGACTGGGGTAGACAGGATTGTATTGACTGGGGTATACAGGATTGTATTGACTGGGGTATACAGGATTGTATTGACTGGGGTATACAGGATTGTATTGACTGGGGTATACAGGATTGTATTGACTGGGGTATACAGGATTGTATTGACTGGGGTATACAGGATTGTATTTGACTGGGGTATACAGGATTGTATTGACTGGGGTATTCAGGATTGTATTGACTGGGGTATACAGGATTGTATTGACTGGGGTACACAGGATTGTATTGACTGGGGTACACAGGATTGTATTGACTGGGGCACTCAGGATTGTATTGACTGGGGTACACATGATTGTATTGACTGGGGTATACAGGATTGTATTGACTGGGGTACACAGGATTGTATTGACTGGGGTACACAGGATTGTATTGACTGGGGTATACAGGATTGTATTGACTGGGGTATACAGGATTGTATTGACTGGGGTATACAGGATTGTATTGACTGGGGTATACAGAATTGTAGTCACGGAGGCATGCAGCTAGACAAATCAGTTTTTTTTCTTATTTTTTATTTCTTTTGAACTTGAACATGCAAAACATTAAACATTTACAAATGCTTGTCATCTATTTGAATGGGGGGATGACTAAACATTGTGCCAGATGGGTCCAAGATGGGACAATGTTATTAATGGCTAATTACTCAAAGATAAATGAAGTCCAGTGTACCTACATGTTTGATGCTTTATTTGCACCTGACATTAATGAACAATCACAAACTGCATTTTGTTGTCATAATCTGTAGTCCAGGTTTGGTATTTCTTTTACCTTTATCATAAAATTTAACATTTTCTGTTGACTAAAGGGCACCCTGATTCTACTTCAGACTTTCTTTTTAGTATATAAACAGAAAATATAAGATATTCTTTTTATATGATTGTCACTTTGTCAGTGTGAAATTTTTATGATTTCTCTTGCAGAACTTAAAAAAGATTTAAAATTATCGACTTAATCCAGAATGTCGGAGAGTGAGAGAGTGCCTCTCCTGAAGGATGACTCTGCAAGAGATGATCCAGTATATGTCAATGTCCCACCAACGGGTCATACAGAGTCGAGCATCGATGGGGCATCGGAAGTCAGAGAAAACACAATTTACCAGCCTTACGTTGAAAAAAGACGAGAACTCTCCCATCACAGGAAGAGCTACAGTGAAGGAGTGGATCCTATATCCCTGTCGTGGGAAAATGTTAATGTTTATGTGAAATCTGAGAGAAAGAAGTGCTGTGGCGGAAGCTCAAAGGCTGTGAAACAGAAACAGATATTACGAAATGGTAAGTAAAGTTTACCAAAATTATTTATGAAAGTCAGTGTGATGTTGTAATGATCATATTTGGTTTAACGCTGCACTCAGCAATATTCCGACTGGACAATCCAGTGATCAGCATCATGAGCATCAATTTACACAAAAGAGATACAATGACATGTGTCAACCAAGGGAGCCTGACCACCCGATCCTGTTTGTCATCTCTTACAACAAGCATGGGTTGCTGAAGACCAATTCTAAACTGAATCTTCACAGGTTTATATACTGGGAATTAATGTTATGCTATATACATGTTTTGGATTTAAATATACAATTTAACTCTAGATAAGGTATTGTGAACATAATTTGACATTTGAGGTAAAATGTTTATAGATGTTAACTTTTTTATCATGTGTTATGAGGCAGTTATACATTGTGCAACAATGTGTCAACTGTTATACATTGTGCCTGAAGATTCAGTAAAGTACAGGGGCGTTCTATATTTAGACTTACTAGATTTAGACTGAATGATCTGGAAAGGACTACAAGGAACTTTTTCCAGAATCATTTGCCTTAAAGCTCAGGTCACAAATCGGTGAAGTTAAGCAGCGTCGAGCTCGGAGAGTCCTTGGATGGGTGACCGTGTTTGGCAGCTTGACTCCTGAGAGTTTCTAGGACTTGAGTCCTGCCCCACAACGAAGCACATGTGACACATGTGGTCTCACCTTAGGCAAGTGAGTTTGTTCAAAATTGTCTCTGTTCACCCAGCAGGAAAATGGGTACCCGGTGGAAAAAAGTCATATGACTATAACCTTCTAGCGCCTAACAGGCAGCTTGGGTTATCCGGGGTAATAATGGCCTTGATTGTTAGCGCTATGAGCATACCTAGTGTGGAGTTTGGCGCTATATAATGGACACATTATTATTATTATTATTATATGAGGTTAGTAAAGGGGAGTCGTATCTCACATTACATCTCCAGTTACCAGAAGACCCGCACTGTATGTGATGATCACGTTATGCCCTCTACCAGAACAATCTCAAATCTCTAGAGCCTCATGTCCATGTTATTGCTGACTCTAAGAAGGCCCAGTAGCTGCAGGTCAATGCTCAGAGTTGTGTCCCTTGCTTACTTTGACCTGTTGCTATGTTGCCAGGTGCCAAATTTACCATCCTCAGCGTGTGAGTATCAAGCTCTAACATGTCTGTGCATCACACTTATGGCTCTTTTGAAAAACTGGGGAGGAATTGTTCTTCTGCAAACCATGCTTGTCTCCCTCTGTGCAGATCCCAATGCTTGTCTCCCCTTGTGAAGAACCAGGTTATTATTGGTCCTCAGCAACCAATGCTTGTCTCCCTCTGTGCAGATCCCAATGCTTGTCTCCCCCTTGTGAAGAACCAGGTTAAAATTGGTCCTCAGCAACCAATGCTTGTCTCCCTCTGTGCAGATCCCAATGCTTGTCTCCCCCTTGTGAAGAACCAGGTTAAAATTGGTCCTCAGCAACCAATGCTTGTCTCCCTCTGTGCAGATCCCAATGCTTGTCTCCCCCTTGTGAAGAACCAGGTTAAAATTGGTCCTCAGCAACCAATGCTTGTCTCCCTCTGTGCAGATCCCAATGCTTGTCTCAGATCCCTTGTGAAGAACCAGGTTATTATTGGTCCTCAGCAACCAATGCTTGTCTCCCTCTGTGCAGATCCCAATGCTTGTCCCCTTGTGAAGATCCAGGTTATTATTGGTCCTCAGCAACCAATGCTTGTCTCCCTCTGTGCAGATCCCAATGCTTGTCTTCCCCTTGTGAAGATCCAGGTTATTATTGGTCCTCAGCAACCAATGCTTGTCTCCCTCTGTGCAGATCCCAATGCTTGTCTCCCCCTTGTGAAGAACCAGGTTAAAATTGGTCCTCAGCAACCAATGCTTGTCTCCCTCTGTGCAGATCCCAATGCTTGTCTCCCCTTGTGAAGAACCAGGTTATTATTGGTCCTCAGCAACCAATGCTTGTCTCCCTCTGTGCAGATCCCAATGCTTGTCTTCCCCTTGTGAAGATCCAGGTTATTATTGGTCCTCAGCAACCAATGCTTGTCTCCCTCTGTGCAGATCCCAATGCTTGTCTTCCCCTTGTGAAGATCCAGGTTATTATTGGTCCTCAGCAACCAATGCTTGTCTCCCCCTTGTGAAGAACCAGGTTAAAATTGGTCCTCAGCAACCAATGCTTGTCTCCCTCTGTGCAGATCCCAATGCTTGTCTCCCCCTTGTGAAGATCCAGGTTATTATTGGTCCTCAGCAACCAATGCTTGTCTCCCTCTGTGCAGATCCCAATGCTTGTCTCCCCCTTGTGAAGAACCAGGTTAAAATTGGTCCTCAGCAACCAATGATTGTCTCCCTCTGTGCAGATCCCAATGCTTGTCTTCCCCTTGTGAAGATCCAGGTTATTATTGGTCCTCAGCAACCAATGCTTGTTGAGGGAGGTTGTGACTGTTTGACGCATGTCGTCATATCTCTGTTGTATAAACTGATGTTCCTATGTGAACCGCTGGTCTGTCTGTTGTCATACAGCTCAAATATTGCATTTAACAAACAAACAAACATACTAAAGATGAGTAGTGAAACAACTTGTTTGTGAACTTGTTTCAGAGAAGAAATGTGTATCAGTTGTTGAAATGGATGAAAATATGTTCTCTTGCTAAACAAAAGAAATCACTGACGTCTGCTACAGAACTTCGACCACATTGGCGGATCCAAGTGCGTGTGAGTGTGAACTTGGATCCGCCCCTTTGAAACTTCCTGGATCCGCCTATGTGGTCCATTTACCTCTGCAACACCTACAGGTAAAGGTTGATGCTGACAGGTGTAGTGTAGTCTCCCTGGCCTATCTAATCTAGACTGACCCACATGTGGTGGACAGTTGACTCATCTGATAACACTGATGACCCCAACCTTGCCAACTCAGCAAGATGGAGATGCTGGGACTAAAGTTCCTCCACTATCATCTGATTGGTGTCTCGACTCGTGCAAATTGTGATTTGTTTGTGGGGAATGAGTGAGTGAGTGAGTTAGTTTTACGCCACACTCAACAATATTCCAGCTATGGCGGCAGTCTTTAAATAATCGAGTCTGGGACAGACAATCCAGTGATCAACAGCATGAGCATCGATCTGTGCAATTGGGAACCGATGACATGTGTCAACCAAGCCAGCGAACCTGACCTCCCGATCCCGTTAGTCTTGTGGGGAATGAAATACAAAATGACAGCAGTGAAGAAATCAGATTTATTGTTTTGCAAATACCTCTAAAATATGTATATTAGAATTTATTTACATGCATTTTGAAAATATATTCACCTTTAAAGAATTTATTCGAGTTGATTGAAAATATTTAGAAACTCGGTTACACAATAACACTGTGTAAGATTGGCCAGCTTATGTGCACGCTTTTCACATCACCTTGAGGAAAGGGAATTAACTTACTTCAGAAGTCCAGTTTTCACCATTGCAGAACCAGGCTGAAATATTGTAGCTCGATCGTAGCGCCAGTGGCTATTAGTAGCTTAATGGACCTTCTATGTCCCTCCAACTGACCAGACTGATTCTGCCTGTCATGTTTCATTTGGAAAATATGTGTCAATGCCTTTTTAATGGTACACATGTTCTGCACATCCTGTAATTGACCAAAATCTCCACGACAGCTGTGATGTTTATAGATGAGATACTGATTTCTTTAAACAAGTATATCTCCATAATTCCAGCCACAGTTATGAACTGGACTTTTATCCCAGTTCTGTCAGTTATCTCCTTTGACCTTTGAAAGGTGAAATAACCTATTATCAGTGTTAAATAATTCACGGTTTAAAGTTTGCCGCATGTACACCTGAACTCTGAACCATGGTAACATAGGGATTCCATGATACAACTGGTCTCCAGCAGCCCATGCTTGTAGTAAGAGGGGACTAACAGGACAAGCCTCACTTACTTGGTTCATGTATGTCATTGCATCCCAACTGTATGGACTGGTTCATGTACGTCGTTGCATCCCAACTGTATGGACTGGTTCATGTCTGTCATTGCATCCCAACTGTATGGACTGGTTCATGTCTGTCATTGCATCCCAACTGTATGGACTGGTTCATGTCTGTCATTGCATCCCAACTGTATGGACTGGTTCATGTCTGTCATTGCATCCCAACTGTATGGATGGTTGGATGGTCTGTCATTGCATCCCAACTGTATGGACTGGTTCATGTCTGTCATTGCATCCCAACTGTATGGACTGGTTCATGTCTGTCATTGCATCCCAACTGTATGGACTGGTTCATGTATGTCATTGCATCCCAACTGTATGGACTGGTGCTTATGATGTCAATCACTGGATTTTTTATTTTTTTATATTTTTTATTCATAGTTGAGTTATATTTATTTTGACACATTGCTAAATAAAAATACTGGTATAACAAAATATAAAAATATACTGGATCATCTCTTGCAGAGTCATCCTTCAAGAGAGGCACTCTCTCACTCTCTGACATTCTGGATTAATTCAATAATTTTAAATTTTTTTAAGTTCTGCAAGAGAAATCATAAAAATTTTCAAAGTGACAATCACACACAGAGTGACAATCATATGAAAAAGTAATTAAATCGTTTACAGTATCTTATATTTTCTGTTTATATACTAAACCTTTTTCCACTTTCAAAACCATTCCAATCCTGGAGGACTCATACTACAATTTCACTACAACTTTTCCAAGATTCAATGGCTGGAATTAAGCCTGATTATAACATAAACTGAATCCTGGTAGTCACACATCTGGAAGATAGGATACCTGATGTCATTTTGAAATCACGGATGGACATACATATGATAATCAAATTAATTGCATATAGATCTTAAAGTATCATTTTCATTTCTGCAGTACCAAATTACATCCTCAAATGACAACAGACCCTGGCAATAAATATCACTGTTAAAGTGTAACACTGAGAACTGGTTTACACAAATGCAATTATTTCAATCCAGCTATTTCTTGAATTTGTTAAATTATCACACAAGATACAGCTATTATCATGACACAACTCCACTTTTCTATATTACTTAACTCTTTATTCGAAAAACATAAATATGTGCTATACATGTCAATCGTCACCAGTCACGGAAATCTAGATGCATGTAGGAGGGACTCTTGCAATGTTACATCACTATTTCATAAATAAAACTAGGCATGTTACAGATAGTTTTTCCCGGAAAACTTTCATCATTCCAATAGATTTTCCTTTAACAATATCTTTGTACTTCCTTTTAAGGGTTCATTGCCATGGTAACTACACACTATACTGGTGTCTTACTTGGAATTTAGCTCTTAAAGAACACATACATTTAACTGGACACTGGATTGTGTTGCCCAGGTGCTGATTTCTCGGAAAAAACTTAAGTCTGAGTTTTGACTTAAGTTAGAGTTTTTACTCAAATTTGAGAAAACACATGAAAACGCATTTCCCAGAATGAATTGAATTCGATATTAAACTCAAACATAGTAGACAATTTCAGTTTGGTGGATAGATTATTTGAGTTGTTTGGGCTTTTTTATTCTGAAAATGCAATTGAGTTAAAAATTCAGCTGTTTCAAATTGTCAAACTCAGTTTCAAATTTGAGTAAAAACTTGAGAAATCAGCACTTGATTATTTACAGACAACTGTGATAGAGCTGATGTCCTGCTGAGTGTGGTATCAAACGGGAAACAAACAACAGCAGTTACACAGAAACAGTTTAGAAGACCACAGAAGAAACATTTAAAGCACAACTAGTTTAAAAATATCCACTTGTGGGTTTAAAATATCCTGTAGACTGAGCCAGTATAACCATAACATATACCAATGCATGGATGATTAACAGGTTCCAGAATTTACATGGAGCAGTGCTAGAAAATGGCGCTAGTTCCATGGTTCAAGGTACCATTTTACATTAATTTGACTGGAATTCACGATATTGGAAAGACATGTTTCCATTATTCTTTTCTCAAAATCAAAATATGAAATCATTCATGACTTCACAGATTTACATTAAAAAGGGTTTCCATTTTGTGGTATTATGTTTCATAAAAATGAGATGTTTGGCACAAGGTGAGCTACTGTACCTGTGGTACGAAGTAGACAGCCACATAAATATGTGCTTTATGTATTTCAGTGACAGGACTTGTGAAGCCAGGGACACTGCTGGCCATTATAGGAGCCAGGTAAGTATCATAAATACACCATCATGCTTTCATCTTCATCATCTCTGATGTCGATGGTGTCAAACTTATCTCATGTCAGTGTGCGAAATAGTTTCCAAATTTTGCTAGCCAGTCGGGTTAGCTATGCCTGAAATTTACTAGCCCACAAAATAATTCACTAGCCCGAAATTTAGATTAAGAAACTATGCAAAAGATTACAAAATGGTAAAATACCATCATTTATCAGGCCATAAAAGTGTATTATAACTTAACAAGTCGGAGAGGGTGATATATTAAAAAAATGACCCCATGAAAATTCACTAGTCAGTCGGGCCAGTGACTAAGGAGATTTACTGGCCTGGGCCTCGTTTCACAAAGCTCTCGTAAATCTCAGTCTTTTCTCGTAGCATTCGTACCTGCTATGTTACAGTACGGGAGATTACTGTAACATAGGAGGTACGAATGCTACGAGAAAAGTTACAAGATCTTAGGCTTACGAGAGCTTTGAGAAACAGGGCCCAGACTGGTAGCCACATCCTAGCGGGTGAATGGCTATTTCGCACACTGTCTCATGTGAAGATCTTCCTTAGAACTGATCTTCAGCAACCCATGCATTTAGGAAGAGGTCACTAGCGGGACTGGGTGGTCATTTAGGAAGAGGTGACTAGGGGGACTGGGTGGTCATTCAGGAAGAGGTGACTAGCAGGACTGGGTGGTCATTTAGGAAGAGGTGACTAGCAGGACTGGGTGGTCATTTAGGAAGAGGTGACTAGCAGGACTGGGTGGTCATTTAGGAAGAGGTGACTAGCAGGACTGGGTGGACTGGGTGGTCATTTAGGGAAGAGGTGACTAAGAGGGACTAGCAGGGTGGGTGGTCATTTAGGAAAGAGGTGACAAGCAGGACTGGGTGGTCATTTAGGAAGAGGTGACAAGCAGGACTGGGTGGTCATTTAGGAAGAGGTGACAAGCAGGACTGGGTGGTCATTTAGGAAGAGGTGACTAGCAGGACTGGGTGGTCATTTAGGAAGAGGTGACTAGCGGGACTGGTTGGTCATTCAGGAAGAAGTGACTAGCAGGACTGGGTGGTCATTTAGGAAGAGGTGACTAGCAGGACTGGGTGGTCATTTAGGAAGAGGTGACTAGCAGGACTGGGTGGTCATTTAGGAAGAGGTGACTAGCAGGACTGGGTGGTCATTCAGGAAGAGGTGACTAGCAGGACTGGGTGGTCATTTAGGAAGAGGTGACTAGCAGGACTGGGTAGTCATTCAGGAAGAGGTGACTAGCAGGACTGGGTGGTCATTTAGGAAGAGGTGACTAGCGGGACTGGGTGGTCATTTAGGAAGAGGTGACTAGCAGGACTGGGTGGTCATTTAGGAAGAGGTGACAAGCAGGACTGGGTGGTCATTTAGGAAGAGGTGACAAGCAGGACTGGGTGGTCATTTAGGAAGAGGTGACTAGCAGGACTGGGTGGTCATTTAGGAAGAGGTGACTAGCAGGACTGGGTGGTCATTTAGGAAGAGGTGACTAGCGGGACTGGGTGGTCATTTAGGAAGTGGTGAGCAGGACTGGGTGGTCATTTAGGGAAGAGGTGACAAGCAGGACTGGGTGGTCATTTAGGAAGAGGTGACAACAGGACTGGGTGGTCATTTAGGAAGAGGTGACAAGCAGGACTGGGTGGTCATTTAGGAAGAGGTGACTAGCGGGACTGGGTGGTCATTTAGGAAGAGGTGACTAGCGGGACTGGGTGGTCATTTAGGAAGTGGTGACTAGCAGGACTGGGTGGTCATTTAGGAAGAGGTGACAAGCAGGACTGGGTGGTCATTTAGGAAGAGGTGACTAGCAGGACTGGGTGGTCATTTAGGAAGAGGTGACAAGCAGGACTGGGTGGTCATTTAGGAAGTGGTGACTAGCAGGACTGGGTGGTCATTTAGGAAGAGGTGACTAGCGGGACTGGGTGGTCATTTAGGAAGAGGTGACAAGCAGGACTGGGTGGTCATTTAGGAAGTGGTGACTAGCGGGACTGGGTGGTCATTTAGGAAGAGGTGACTAGCAGGACTGGGTGGTCATTTAGGAAGAGGTGACTAAAAGGTGACTAAGCGGGACTGGGTGGTCATTTAGGAAGAGGTGACTAAGCGGGACTGGGTGGTCATTTAGGAAGAGGTGACTAGCAGGACTGGGTGGTCATTTAGGAAGAGGTGACAAGCAGGACTGGGTGGTCATTTAGGAAGTGGTGACTAGCGGGACTGGGTGGTCATTTAGGAAGAGGTGACTAGCAGGACTGGGTGGTCATTTAGGAAGAGGTGACAAGCAGGACTGGGTGGTCATTTAGGAAGTGGTGACTAGCGGGACTGGGTGGTCATTTAGGAAGAGGTGACTAGCAGGACTGGGTGGTCATTTAGGAAGAGGTGACTAGCAGGACTGGCCGGTAGTCAGCCTCGTTGACGGGTTTGATGCATGTTGTTGTATCCCATGGGCAGCTGTGTAGCATGATGCTCATGATGTCAATCCCTTGTCCAGACTTGATTGTGAAATGTACAAGAACTATACAGAATATGCCATTTCCATCTCAGGAATATCGTCACCATCAGACACCTGATAACCAAGGATGTTCCCTCATATTTTCTAGGCTACACTACTGCAATAGTTTATTGTCTTCAATATCATAAGAATCCATTTCAAGACTTCAGCGCCTACAGAACACTGCAGCACATAGTGACTCTTACAGCCAAATTCTCCCACATACAGCCACACCGAAGTCCCGGGTTCGAATCCCCACATGGGTACAATGTGTGAAGCCCATTTCTGGTGTCCCCCAGCCGCCGTGATGTTGCTGGAATATTGCTAAAAGCAGCGTAAAACCATACTCAGTCAGTCAGTCCCACATACAGCCAGTTCTAAAAAGTCTTGGTTGCCTATTCAAGCCAGGATAGAATTCAAAGTACTAACACTCACATATGGATGTCTGTATGGTACAGCACCACCGTACCTCTGTGAGCGGATTAAGCAATATCACCCAACCAGAATACTAAGATCCGTAACTCAGTTTATCTGTATTGTCCCTAAGTGGCGACTTAAAGGATTTGGCTACAGACATTTTCCACTCAATCAGCAATCCTCTTGAATTCTCTTCCAAAAGAGCGCCAAGTAAGGCAGACCTAAAGACCCTGCTCTTCGAGAAATACCAAGACTAGTGAACTGGTTATATAGTGCTATGAGCATACCTTCTGGTGTGCAGCTTAGTGCATTCCAAATGGTGTCATTATTATGATAATTGTCATCATATAGCTGGAATATTGCTGCGTGCAGCTATGGCAAACAAACAAACCTGTTGCATCAATACTGAGCACTATACTTGAGTCACAATCATGATGTTTTATTTGCACAAATGTTGATGTTTAATTTTCCATATTCCAAGAGATTGTTGCTATAGCTTTCATTTTTCATTAGTTAATTTTCACTAAAATTGCCCAAAACTTTAATGGAGTTGGTCGTTGAAAATAGAATTAAAATTTCCAAATGAGTACTGTCACCAACATGACTGAATGAAAAACAAACATTTTTATTGTAGCGAGATACGGAAGAAACATTAGAATAAACATATGCATTAATTACCATTTCTTACAAACAGCAATTCTTTTCATCAAATTGTAAAGCATATTCAGCTCCACACAAGTTTGCAAAAATAACTTTTGTTTTCTTCTGATTTCATTTTTTCATTTAGTCATGTAAACCAAGAATGTTTAAGGCCTGTCAACCGACTTGTGTCTTTCTCTTGGGTTTGTTGTACCGGTTTTTGTACAGTCACATATAGCTGTTTGTTTTGTACCAGGTGGTTACGTACTACAAGAGTACTTGTCAGATGTACTACATTTTTTAAATTGAAACAGAATTATTCATAATGAATTGACGCATCCAGACTAACATCTAGTCTCTGAAATGAACATATTTCAAAGAAAAAAAAAAGTTCCTAAAAGATAAGGTTGAGACGCTTTTCTCACTTCGCGTGGTCACCGAGGTGTGGCGGGATAATATGACTTTTGTACTCCCTGCTCGCGGATCGTGAGGGGTGTACATGGTATTTTATCAGTCATGTGAACCAATCAAAACTCGACATTCTTACATGAGGCTGGATAAAGCGCATTGTGTTATGTCACAGGTGTAGATTCATGATGTAGGATAAATTGTAGCATTGCGATTCCCCTTTAATCTTAATTTAATAAACATATGTGATATTATGTTCTATATTCATTAGCTTGTGTATGTAAGCATGATGTTGCATCAGATAGTATTATGCGTGTTATATATTGGTTTGGAGACAGAGGCGGTTCCAGAATTGTGAAAAAGGATTTATTACTCACTAGTTGAAGATATCACTTTTTATTAAATCTACAATGTTATGACATATTCTGTAATAACATCGCGTGATGCCAGACGTATGATGTCAAAATGGTTTACAGTTATGACATCACAATGCTAATACCTCTTTCACAATGGTATTAGACCTTGCTTGACTCGCAGAAAGCTGAGAGTCATCAAACTGCAGGGGGTTTCTATCAATTTATGTTGGAGAGTAATAAACAGAATACTAAACTCGCTTCCGTGAAATACCATTTTTATAAAATACAGGGGCGGATACAGCTTTTGAGAAAGGGCGGGGTGCACACTATTGAGAAAAGGAGGAGGGGTGCACACTTCATTTTCACCCGAGTTTGAATGGTAATTTAATAAACTTTCAGGACAAAAGGGGGGGCGCACCCCTGAACCCCCCCTCTGGATCCGCCTATATGAAACATGTGGAAGAGTTAGCATTAAACTCGCTTTCACTCATTGATACCAAATCATCAACTCGTTTAATAAAAATGGTATTACACAATGTACATGGATGGTCGTTCAGTATCTTCTATATGACTTGACTGAACCTGTGAAGATCCGGGGTAGAATAGGCCTTCAGCAACCCATGCTTGCTACAAAAGGAAACTATGCTTGTCATAACAGGCGACTAATGGGATCGGGTGGTCAGGCTCGCTGACTTATAGCTGGAATATTGCTGAGTGCGGCGTAAAACTAAACTCACTCACTCACTCACTATTATGAGTGAGGGTTACAACTTGGACATGGGCGCTGTTAACATGAAAAGTTTCCACTTACACCATGAATAATTAATATGATCTTCATGCTGAATAAGACATGAGCAAGGCTAGACATGGCCATAAGGTTGTTAGAGTGAGGAGTGAGTGAGTGAGTTTGGTTTTACGCCGCTTTTAGCAATATTCCAGCAATATCACAGCGGGGAACACCAGAAATGGGCTTAACACATTGTACCCATGTGGGGAATCAAACCTGGGTCTTCGGCGTGACGAGCAAACGCCTTAACCACGTGGCTACCCCACCGCCCCTATAAGGTTGTTAGACAAGTGATATCTGTATAACTTATATCTGTCGGAATTACGGATTATGAATAGACAATGCCGTTTAGAAAGTGGTCAAATGTAACATATGTTACATATGTATGGGATTACTGTGTTAGCTGCAGTGGCTGAGTGGGTTAGATCCCTTACTTTGTGTGCTGACGTTTAGGTGCCTGACTCTGAGAGCGTGGGTTCGAATCCCAGATTGGAACCTAACAAAAGTACTAGAATCTGTGCTTTACTGTGAAAGTGTAACCCCAAATATAACATGTGAAGTATGGATTAGATGGAATAGATTGGTAAGGTTCCATAAGGAATCAGGTTCGGTGTGTCTTCAATGTGTCAGTTGTGTGGGACAATGGCGCTGTCCCCAGTCCTCCATGCAGAGAAATGTCTGAACTTAATGACATAGACTAACGCTTAGTCTCTGAATATATATAGTTTTGATTGTAACAAATAAACCCATTTAAATTGAAAAGGAGCCCCAGGGAGACCCGAGAGCTACACTTGCTTCATTTAGGGCTTTGGCATTGCAGGGATTGCTAGGCTGTAGGGAACATAAAATGGTCGGGGACTGTGAGACTGACTATTAATGATCTTTATCTTCCCAGAAAATTTTCACCTCTCAGAATCTCTATTCCACAAATTTCAAAGACCACATTGGTTAAATGAGCATATCGTTTACCCCTGGTTGTTTAATCAGAAGTTTTTTCATCAATATCCCTGGGTTTATTGAATTTAGTTTTTCATTAACTAATTGCCTACAAAAACTGTCCTCAATCACCTTTAACTATAGTTCAGTTATAATAAATAGATTGGCACAGCTGCATGCAGGATAAATAATAATTTTTCAGAGTACACAGAGATATTAGATTTAACTATGTGATGTGGCACATGCTTTTATATCATGCTCAAAGACGTATGAAATATCTAGATATTGGATATTGAATATAGCCATATATCATGTCTATAACTTACAGTGGAGTTTTTATTTAGACCATCCTTTTGCCATGTCATCATTTGTCTGCTTGTGCATCTTTTTTTCTCTTTTTATTTCATTTTAAATAGTTTCATTTACACGCATACATTATAAAATCATACATAGTCAGCAAACAGTCCATTATGATTCATTTGAAGTACATAATACTGTAATTCTCAAATTTTTGCATCATGGTAATTTTTTGCGTGGCAACCAACAGACCGTATTTTACACATTTTGAAGGGACTCTTATGATCCATTTTCATGATATTCAAGATGGTGAAAGATTTTATGTTCAAAAGAGATATATCAAGATGTGTGTAATTTGTTGGAAGTTGTGATGTTTTGATGACGTTGCCTCTATTCGACAAAGTTATCTTAGCACTAAGGTGACCAAATCTACTTTACCATTGGCTTACGATCACCATGACGCTATGCGGACCTTTCCTAGTTTACCATAGGCTTATGATCACTGAAGCGCTAAGCTGACCTTATCTACTTTATCGTAGGCTTACGATCACCGTAGCACTTAGGTGACCTTATCTACTTTACGATAGGCTTACGATCATCATAGCGCCAAGGTAGGAACATCTTCTTTACCATAGGCTTATGATCACCGTAGCACTAAGGTGACCTTATCTACTTTGCCACAGGCTTACGATCACCGTAGCGCTTAGGTGACCTTATCTACTTTATTGTAGGCTTACGATCATCATAGCGCTAAGGTAAGAACATCTTCTTTACCATAGGCTTATGATCACCGTAGCACTAAGGTGACCTTATCTACTTTGCCACAGGCTAATGATCACCGTAGCGCTTAGGTGACCTTATCTACTCTACGATAGGCTTACAATCATCATAGCGCTAAGGTAAGAACATCTACTTTACCATAGGCTTATGATCACCGTAGCACTAAGGTGACCTTATCATCATCATCATCATCATCATCATCTCACCACCATCTACTGTACCATAGGCCTATGATCACCGTAGTGCTTAGGTGACCTTATCTACTTTACCATAGGTTTACTATCACCGTAGCGTGTAGGTGACCTTATATATTCTACCATACCATCAGATCAGTGGCTATAAAACTTTTATTTCATTGTAGTGGTGCTGGCAAGTCAACACTGATGAACGTCCTGACTGGCCGAAATGTTGTGCAATATATCATAGAAGGAGGGATAAAAGTGAATGGCGTGGATGTTGGGAAAGGCATCAAGAACATCTCCGCCTATGTACAGCAGGATGAACTGTTCCTGGGAACACTCACTGTCAGAGAACAACTCATCTTCAGGGTAAATATTGTAATCTCACCCAACATGATAGATAATATAAACCACAGGGTAAATATTGTAATCTCACCCAACATGATAGATAATATACACCAAAGTGTAAATATTGTAATCTCACCTAACATGATAGATAATATAGACCAAAGGGTAAATATTGTAATCTCACCCAACATGATAGATAATATAGACCACAGGGTAAATATTGGAATCTCACCCAACATGATAGATAATATAGACAACAGGGTAAATATTGTAATCTCACCCAACATGATAGATAATATAGACCACAGGGTAAATATTGTAATCTCACCTAACATGATAGATAATATAGACCAAAGGGTAAATATTGTAATCTCACCCAACATGATAGATAATATAGACCCCAGGGTAAATATTGTAATCTCACCCAACATGATAGATAATATAAACCACAGGGTAAATATTGTAATCTCACCCAACATGATAGATTATATATACCACAGGGTGAATATTGTAATCTCACCCAACATGATAGATAAAATATACCACAGGGTAAATATTGTAGTCTCACCCAACATGATAGATAATATAGACCACAGGGTAAATATTGTAATCTCACCCAACATGATAGATAATATAGACCCCAGGGTAAATATTGTAATCTCACCCAACATGATAGATAATATACACCACAGGGTAAATATTGTAATCTCACCCAACATGATAGATAATATAGACCCCAGGGTAAATATTGTAATCTCACCCAACATGATAGATAATATAGACCACAGGGTAAATATTGTAATCTCACCCAACATGCTAGATAATATAAACCACAGGGTAAAGAAACTTGTGAAACTTCTTATCCATCGGACACATGAAGATCCGGGTTACAACTGGTCTTCAGCAACCCATGCTTCTTATAAGAGGCGACTGACAGGATCGGGTGGTTAGGTTCGCTGACTTTGTTGACATATGTAATTGTATCCCAATTGTGTACATCAATGCTCATGCTGTTGATCACTGGATTGCCTGGTCCAGACTCGATTATTTACAGACCGCCACCATATAGCTGGAATATTGCTGAGTGTGGTGTTAAAGAGAAAAACAAAATCTTATCCATCATATGGTTGTATATATTCTACTCAAAGATTGCTAAAGATCAAGCTTTGATGTTGTCAGAATATCATCCCACAAATATAGATTAAAATGTCCCAGTACACACTGACTGGATAACCCTTCTAGGGCCTCAGTTTAGTAATAAACAGACAGAGCCAGTCATGGGCCGATGTGCTTGAAACTGTGTGTTTGCAGGCATCTTTACAGAAGCATTGCACGTCATTATCCGAAAGCGCAACAATAATTGCTACTGTGGATTGCAAAAACTGAATGCACTGACTCACCATTTAATAAAAAATATATATTCTACATAAATATATTTTCATTCATACTTCAAGACATAATGGTGGCAATACAAAGCATGCTAATTTTGTTTGTTAGGAAAATAGTTCCTGTTCACAGAAGGTCCGATTGGTTATTGTTTCGTTTGATGGAATGTGATAAATAAAAAATCATTGCAAGCAGCTGCGTGAGACTGCATGTGTTAAATGATGGGAAGAAAACTTGCATGATATCTTTGCATATAAGGGTTTGAAAACAGTGATATGACAAACAAACGTTGTCAGTCAACAGTGAAAGAACAAGAAATTCTCAGATCTAACTGGCTGAACAATGAGAAAGTATGTCGGTGCAGTTGGGTGCAATTTGTGGGTGGTCTTCACAATTCATTCGTGCTTTTTATCATTTACTAAATTACTCATCATATACTAAATGGGTAGGCGGGTTAGCCGAGTGGTTAAAGCTTTTGCCCATCACGCTGAAGACCCGGGTTCGATTCCCCACATGGGTACATTGTGTGAAGCCCATTTCTGGTGTCCGTAGCTGTGATATTCCTGGAATATTGCTAGAAGCGGCATAAAACCTAACTCACTCACTCACTACAAGATATGATGTGGGATGATTGTTGGAAGTGTTAAAGCAGTTAATTTAAAGTGTTTGTTCATCATGCCGAAGACCTTAGTTTGATTCCCCACATGGGTATAATGTGTGAAGCCCATTTCTGGTGTCTCCTGTCATGACATTGCTGGAATATTGCTGAAAGTGGCATAACCCAACTCACTCACTCACTGATTCACTCACAGACTCACCAACTCAGTCATCTACTCACTAACTCACTCACTAATAGGGGGAAACTGTATGCTCTTACCACGGTATGGTACGTATTGTGGTACAAGGCCTTCGGTTCAATCCATATCAGTTAACATTCAGTATATGAGAACTTACTTCTGGGAATATAGTGGCCATCTAGCAAAGAAATGCATGATTCGATTTCTAGACATTTTAAAAAAGGTTTTAAGTAATGATGGTACGAAAACCGAAAATACTGATTTTTTTTTATTGCATTACGGTATACCGAACCGAAGGCAAAATACCCCGGTTCTACTAATACCGCAGTATACCATTTCACTCGTACTCACTCACTCACTTCCAGGCCCTACTGAGGATGGACAAGAGCCTTAAGAAGAAAGCACGGTTGCAGAGGGTGGAGGAGGTGATTACAGAGGTGAGTACTGGCAGATGACATATCCACCAACACCCTAAGTTAAAATGTGCGATAAAAGTTTACTTTTCAGAAGTTTCTTTTGGTCTGTTAGAGGTTAATTATTTTCAGTCGTAAACAAAATTCTAAAGTAGGCCATGAATGAGCCAAGATATAACCCAATGGTCTTTACCAAAACTCATTGTGGGTGTTGGAACTGGTCTTAAACAACCCATGCTTTGAAGAAGGTTTGACAAATAGGATCAGGCTCTCAGACTATCTGATTTAGTTGATGCATGTCATTTAAAACTCCACTCGGGTAAGTATGTATGTACATTTATTAACTTTAGTACACAGAAAAAGCGTGTGCATATTATATATCTGTTCGTATCCTCAAAATAGCAACGACCCTTAAGAATTTGAGGCACCAAAGTTACATGATCTGTTGAGAAACTATCATGAGTCATAATATTCCAAAACATCTCAGATATTTTACAATATTTAATGTTAAAAGACATGTTTCCGGATACCCAGGGAAAAAAACAAAACAATAGCAAACGCAGTAACCAGACCTGGCCAAATGTTCTAGGTTAGTGCCCCTTTAAATGTATGTCAACTCTTCAAAAGAAACTTTGTGATTACCTGCCTTCAGATGGGACTGAGCAAGTGTGCAGACACTCAAGTGGGGACTCCCGGACGGACCAAGGGCATTTCTGGCGGTGAGAAGAAGAGGCTGTCCTTCGCTTCTGAGGTGAGAATTGTCTTGGAGACAGTGATCAGTTCTGTTGTCCCAAGTTTTGGTTCTTTAGCTTCAGAGTTGGGCAGATTTGTCCCACCATCTGTTTTTAGGACGGATCATATTTGTCCCCCCAGTGCTTCAGATACCTGTACCTGCAATGTGTGCAAACTATCTCTACAATGTGTGACCTGTGGCTACAATATGTGGCCTATCGCTACAATGTATGACCTGTGGCTACAATGTGTGACCTATCGCTACAATATGTGGCCTATCGCTACAATGTGTGACCTGTGGCTACAATGTGTGGCCTATCGCTACAATGTATGACCTGTGGCTACAATGGGTGACCTATCGCTACAATGTGTGACCTGTGGCTACAATGTGTGGCCTATCGCTACAATGTGTGACCTGTGGCTACAATGTGTGGCCTATCTCTACAATGTGTGACCTGTGGCTACAATGTGTGACCTGTGGCTACAATGTGTGGCCTATCGCTACTATGTGTGACCTGTGGCTACATTGTGTGCAAACCTATCTCTGCAATGTGTGACCTATGGCTACAATGTGTGACCTGTGGCTACAATGTGTGGCCTATCGCTACAATGTGTGACCTGTGGCTACAATGTGTGACCTATCGCTACAATGTGTGACCTGTGGCTACAATGTGTGCAAACCTATCTCTACAATGTATGACCTATGGCTATAATGTGTGACCTGTGGCTACAATGGGTGACCTATCGCTACAATGTGTGACCTGTGGCTACAATATGTGGCCTATCACTACAATGTGTTACCTGTGGCTACAATGTGTGGCCTATCGCTACAATGTATGACCTGTGGCTACAATGTGTGACCTATGGCTACAATGTGTGACCTGTGGCTACAATGTGTGGCCTATCGGTACAATGTGTGACCTGTGGCTACAATGTGTGCAAACCTATCTCTACAATGTGTGACCTGTGGCTACAATGTGTGACCTATGGCTACAATGTGTGACCTGTGGCTACATTGTGTGCAAACCTATCTCTACAATGTGTGACCTGTGGCTACAATGTGTGACCTTTGATTAAGAGTGGGTATCTTTTACTGCCTCCTGTTATTGTGTGGATCATGGTATCTGCTTCCGACGTAAGAAAACCTCTTTCACTCATTTACAACCAGCTATATGTGATTTTGAAAAATATTTCTGTGACAAAAATTCATTGAAATATCTGTTTAGGCGCTGACCAACCCCCCACTGATGTTCTGTGACGAGCCGACGTCTGGACTGGACTCCTTCATGGCCCAGAACATTGTCCAGACCCTCCAGAACATGGCATCCAAGGGCAGAACAATCTTGTGTACCATTCACCAGCCATCGTCAGAAGTCTTCGCCATGTTTGACGAGTATGTGTTATTTTTCTCACTGGGAATTAGGGGTGAGTGTGTGAGAAGGGTGTACTGCCTTCTTGAACAGGATACCTCTTGCTGTTGCCATTGGCCAAGAATCACCAAATTCAAATGGCATCACATTAAAGTTTAGGCATGTTTTGAAGCAGCCAGAGACAATATTGCATAAAGACATGTCTTTTGAACAAACATATGTTGTCATGTGTCATGTCATGCTACAAAGAAGAACATGACGTGAATACACAATGCCGTTTCGAACGTGGTCAAATGTAACATATGTTATAGTTGGGATTCTCAGTACAGATTTTAGTACATCCGGGATTCGAACCCTCACTCTCAGAGTCAGGCACCTGGATGTTAAATGTCACAACATGACAAATAATCAACTTGATTATGAATCAAAATGAGAGTATATATTCAAAACTAAAACATAAAATAACCTGCAGATTCAGGGCTTGATGATTCCACTTCTGGAATCAACATGTAATCATGATTTTTCCTTTTGAAAAAAAACAGCAGTTTTCTGTCAGATCGTTAGAATGTTGGTTTCATTACTGTTTCAGGGTTTTGCTGCTGGCAGAGGGGAGAACGGCATTCGTAGGTCCATCAAAAGAGGCATTTGAGTTCTTCTCAAGGTCAGTGCTGTAACCAACCTTCAGGATTAGCTGCTGTCAGCAGAAAGTTCTGTGGAATGTTTCGGTTGGTACTGAGTTAGCGAGTGAGTGAAGTTTGCACAGCTTTGAAAAGTATTTCAGTTCAGCGAGAGAGTAAGTATGGTTTTATGCTGCGTTTAGCAATATTCCAGCAACATCATGGCTGGGGACACCAGAAATGGGCTTCACACATTGTACCCATGAGGGGAATCGAACCCGGGCCTTCGACGTGACGAGCGAAAGCTCTAACCACTAGGCTACCCAATCACCCCAGTTTTGGAAAGCTTTGAACAGTATTTCAGTTAAGGCTTGTCAGCCTGATGTGTGAAGAAAGCCCTCCTTCTGATGCCAGCCTCAGAGGCTAACTATTTTGGTGCTACCCATGAGGACAATTGCTGGCTGCTGACAAACCCAGAAACATAACCCTGTCTCAACAGGGATTCAAATCTCAAAGTCCATGGATGCAACCGTTATACCCTATGAACTTTACCATATATATATTTTTTTTTTTTCTAGCCTACTATTCAAATTTCACTTTCTTTTGTGATGTCCACAGTATTAGAAATAAAAGTCAATTTTCCAAAGTTGAATCTGAGCCAGGAATTTGTTGGACATCTGACTTCGTGTTTAAAATTAAAAAATGATGCAAATATAGGTCGCCCCTGTGAAACCCTGTTAATCCAGACAGTTTTATTCGCAGTAAAATGTCCGGAATCACAATGTATAAACAGGGAGTGGTCATGTATTAGTAGTAGAGGTGGAGGGGTGGATTTAATTGGTCGGTGGGATTGGACTGACGACGGTATCCCCCTTTGCTCATCACCCTTTGTACTGACTGACTGAGTTTGGTTTTTACGCCGCTTTTAGCAATATTCCAGCAACATCACGGCGGGGGACACCTCCCCCCTTTGTATGTAACATATTTCTTGTGTAACAATTCCACACTTCCAGTAAATTTAACAATTTTTCATGATCACTCTCCTATAATAAGTGATCTCCTCTGCTATTAGACTAACATCTAGTGTCTGAAATGAACATATTTCACCGCCAAAAACCCCAGTTCATGTGGTTATAATGATTAGAAGTCCAGAGTCTTTCTTCATTTTCTGAAACTGTGGCATCCTAGACTTGCCACATATTCTAGACTTGCATGGGATTTCTTGGATATATTTGTTTTAGGGTCTGTGTGACAGACTACTCTCCTATAATAAGGAGCAGTTCCTGAATACTGTTAAAATTTTAAAATGTCTAAATGTTTCATTTTGTAAATTAATTGAGCTGTCATGTGGTTGACCGTATGCTTCTTCTGTTCCTGCAGCAAAGGCTTCCTCTGCCCTCCAAACTTCAACCCTGCAGATTTTTATGTGCTTACACTGGCCATTGTACCAGGGAAAGAAGCCGAGTGTCGGGACAAAGTGGAGGTAACTCATAATTGTTGTATCTTGCATACCACTATCAGTTTAAAGGTGAGAGGCAACTATTGCTTGCAGTTATTCATGTTTGGTTTAGCAAAGGATAACCTTGGATTAAATGTTGCAGCTTTCTGAATCATTCAGCTTCATGTAGACACAGATCTGTAAGACTTAAGGGGGTGATTAAATGTTGCTCTGTGAAGAAAAAGGAAGTCGGAGAAAGGGGTAGGTGACGTGGTGTCAAAATTCCTCAAAACTAATTGAGGCTTGACCGAAAATTGTGACAGTCCTTGTTTATATGTAACGTATTTATGAATTTGGACGTTATTTAGGGCCTTGTAATGTTTTTTTGTGAAGTTGGGCTGGGTTGGGGAAATTGATAAAATTGCTGTAAGACATTGCATGGTCATATATCGGACAGTGTAGCATTATGTTTCCAGACCCGTGAAGGTCCGGGTAAGAATATTGATCTTCAGTAGCCTATGCTTGTTGTAAGAGGAGACTAACGGGGTCGGGTGGTCAGGCTCGTTGACTTGGTTGACACATGTCATCAGTTACCAAATGCGCAGATCGATGTTCATGCTGTTGATCACTGGATTGTCTGGTCCAGGCTTGATTATTTACAGACCACTGGACTATTTGCTGAGTGAGGTGTAAAACTCAACTCACTCACTCACTCATTATGTTTCCAGAAACTATGCGATGCTTTCAGTGGGAGCGAGACTTATGGGAAGATGAAGACAGATATCAATGATGTCAGCAGCAAAATCCAGGACCAATCTTCATCGGTTGTGGTAGGCTTTGAGATTTATCCTGGCTGAAATCTTTGTGTTTATAACTATACGCCATTCAGCAGTCTACTGTTCAATCCCATCATGGACTATGGACTATACTATAAATATTCCACAAATAGAGTTTAGTTAGTTTTTCGATCACGATTGCCCAACTAGCTGACTCAGCGTAAAATAACTACACCATGTGAGGAAAGGACGTAAGCATGGGCAGGATAAGTAATAGCCGTGTCTGAAGCCTGAATTCAGTAAAATGTTTGTCCGTATGCTCAACTAATACCAAATGTAATAAACTAGAACTCTTTGGCCAATGAATACCAACTTACATCTCTCTGAAGATCTAAATATTTCTCTAAAAATCCACCAAGAATATACCCACAAACAAGTGACGACAACAGCTGACTGAACATCTGTGGCATTTTGAATAAATATTGCATTTCATGTTTGATTTATCTATTTCTATTTTTCAGTTTGAAGATGCTTTTGCCAGCGGGAATGACAGGTGTGTTACCTTCAACATTTATAATCATGTCTTTGTTTTCTTAGATGGTGTGAAGTCATAGTAGGTATAGTAAATGACTTGTAGCAAATGAAAGCATTCAAAACTCCATCCTTTTGTTGTCTTATAGGATTTAAGGGGGCATGGGTCGCCTTGATCATTCCAGAATTTCATGGTTTCACAACATTGGAAGTAAACTTCACAAATGTTCTCAGAAACATTGCAAAAACTACACAAATCATTGTCAATCAGGTTCATTTTCAATCATTCTATTTTAGTATAAATAACTGTTTGGAAAAAATCTGTATTGAAAATCAAGAAGTTTAACGTGTTTCAATCCATGTGTATAGAAGTTAAACATTTTGTGCCTGTCAAATTCACAATGATTGAATATCATTTCCCATTTAGGACAAATCTCACATTTATAGAATTTTTAGAAATCAGCTTGTCTTAAAATAATCTTGAACCTTTAATATATTTCTATTGTAAACATTGATGCATAAATTGTAGAAAGGAATGATTTTTGTCCTTTTAGTAGCACTGTTTTAAAAATCTGGTAAGATGTGAAGTAGATAGCTATAGTCTATTATCCAGCGTCATGTAAGAATGTCGAGTTTTGATTGTTTTTTTCGTGACTCTGATAAAATACCATGTACACCCGTCACGATCCGTGAGCAGGGAGTACAAAAGCCATATTATCCGGCCACGCCTCGGTGACCACGCGAAGTGAGAAAAGCGTGCATCGCCAAGCCTTTAGTAACGTGCGCTGCATTGAGGTCAATCGATCAGCTGGTGTCAACATGGCAGCAAGAAAACGTTTTGCCACAACAACTGAGAATGAAATTGATGGGTATTGTTTTCTTTTGATTTAGTAAAAAAAATTGGCTAGATAAATGCGTTATCACATCGTGTCGAGGGAAATACGGGGTTTTATCAGTCCCTCATAAGGTTGTATTACTTACTATGTGTCCCAATATTTCAGCTCCAAAGAGGAATAGATACCCTGCCTACAACCCATTAATTTTCAAAGAAGTCCGATAAATGGTTATTTTGTATCACATGAGAAGTTGTGTGATATGTTAGTAGATTAATCCAGCGTATAATTTGTGAACCAAAACCAAATTCGTCGAGGACTGAATTGATGAAATCTTTTTGAAACTGTGTCAATATTTCTTTTTTTGTTTCAAACAAGATATCATATGATAACCTTGTATTTACACTTATAGTTCTACCTGGAATAAAACCTATTTGGTTTCCATGACTAAGTAAGTTTAAAGTCTGTTCACACGGTTTGTTATACATGCACTAAGTATTTGACAAAGAGCATTCAAAAGAGTGATTGGTCTCCAATTTTTCAAACTGAATTCTATCTATATTTGCTTTGGGTATGCATGTTTTAATCCCTCTCTTCATTGTCAAAGATAATTCATTCGTAATGGAAACATCATTAACAGATCGGAAAATCCATCTTTTAAGGTCATTCTGGGAAAATTTAAAGAAATCAGTGGGGAATCCATCAATACCAAGACTTTTATTGTTTTTCATATTTTTCACTGCAAAGGTGATTTCATCCATATCAATATCTTTTTCGAGTTCTTCTCTTAATTCATTATTCTGAGTAGATGGTTCCACATTCTGTAAATTAACATTTTCTTCCAAGTTGCTGTTTGATGAATAGAGAGTCTTATAAAATGTTCTCAGCTGCTTTAAGATAGAAATGCTATCTGTAATCTCCTCATTTTTGTCAGTAATAATAGTTTTTATTGATTTGCTGACAAAAGTTATTTTTTCTTGATTACAAAAGTATTTGTTTGCTTTTTGTCCTTCATACCATAAAATTCTATTTCTAATCTGAATACCTTTTTATTCCTCTTCCTTTATCTGTTCTAATCCATCTGGGGCGGTGGGGTAGCCTAGTGGGTAAAGCATTGGCTCGTCACGCCGAATACCCCGGTTCGATTCCCCACATGGGTACAATGTGTGAAGCCCATTTCTGGTGTCCCTCGCCGTGATATTGCTGGAATATTGCTAAAAGCGGCGTAAAACCATGCTTACTTTACTCACTCTAATTCCATCTTATGACAGCATGGCCTCATCTTTATATTAGAAATGTTTCCTTATATTGTCTTCACAGTCTTTTATTTTTATTTCCAATTCAGTTGTCTTATTATATTTATCATTTTTCAAACAAGATCCTAAAGAAAAAAGGTTTCCACGAATAAACTATGATCAGTTATTGTAAGTTTAACCTTATCACAATTCTGATCAATATTGTTGCACTCAGATGTATCATTTTCAGAATATTCTTCAATTGTTTCTTTTAAAATTGTCTAAACCAAATTCCTGGTTTCGGGAAGGAGGAATGAAGTATCAACCTTCCAGTAGCCCCTGCCTCTTTCGAGTAATAGTGTTTGAGAGGGTTAATGATATAGCTGAATGGTCAGTTTTATAGCCTGGTAACATATCAGAATCCAAAGTTATATCAAGGACTTCTTGAGAGTTCAGGAAAAAATTCTAGGCTAGCTTGTTTCCTTGGATTCTTTTACCACCATGTATATTTTCTAGTATTATGGTCAATTCCCTCCATACATAAAACATGTCATAATTTATTAAGGTTTCTTTGACAATATTGATTCAGGATTATTAAAATGTTTGTAATTTTCTAAATCAAGGGGTCCAAAACAAGATTCCAATCTCCAATCTCTATTGAATCATTGTCAAGGGAAAATATATTTTCAAACAGCTTGATATAGAATTTAGGATCATCAATGTTTGGTCCATATAAGTTTGTAAATGTAAATCTTTGTCTTCAACAGTAATGTCTGCAATAATGAAATTGACAATTTTTCCTTATCCTGACTCATGCTCTTTTTGCTTGTCTTCTTCTTCTTGCGAACATAGTGGAACACTTGTATCTCCCTAATTGAAGCTCCCTTCAATTTAAAATCACTAATTAGTATTCACCACGAAGTTACCTCCCTTTCCACAAAGCTGAACGAGGGCTTTCACCTCTACCCATGTGCCTCACTCTTCCTTCTTCGCCCAGTGAGCTGGATCGTGGAGTTTCTGTGTCTCCTACACACTATATCCTTTGTTTTATATTTAGTTAGTTACCTCGTATAGACTTCTATAGAGGTTTAGCTAGTATCCTTCAACGCATTATATATTGATATTTAGTCGTTTTCTACAGTTTATTCACGGGACGCCGTGTTTGTTTCAAGGGATTACGCTGATGAAAATTCTGTACTATTGCAGATTACGTTTTATGCTGCTGCTGATCCACCTTTAATATGATGTAACGGGGCCATGTTTATTATATTCACTGCAGTTGGCGGTACTAATTTATCCAATTCTACCTTTTATTAATATTTACTTTGCGTTTGGCACGCATTAGCAGATAGGTCGCGTATGCAGAGTCTAGTATGACTGATACACGGAACCCCGCCAGTCTACTGCTGTTGGCTTCGACTCCTCCCGTGTGGTGTTCCGCTAGAGTGGTGGAGAGGTGGACGTAGTCCGCCATCTCCAAGAAGCATCCTGCTTCCCCAGACATCCCATCGCCGCGGCAGAAGACTAGAGGGTTTTTCTACTACATCTCAACAATCGAGACCGCTCCCATCGGGAAAGTTTTGGGCCTGTATGATGATCAGCCGGTCATCATACCGGTTGTACATCAAAGATTGACCGATGTCGCACAGATCAGCATGCAGCCTGATGTACCAACGCAGATATGCGATGATCGCCCTGAGGGTCCCATCATTACCAACACTCAACGCAGACGCCGCGACACCCGGGGCAGTCGAACCTCTGAGGGAAAAATCAACGGTCTACTAGGACTTTCTCAACCGAGATTGTTCCAACCGATGACCTGGACTCTACGATGATCAGCTGATCATCATCCCCGACGTACGCCACAAGAAAACGACCGGTGACAGCTACAACGACATCAGCAGAGATCACCATGCAGCCTGATGCCTCTACACTGATGTCGGACGATTTTCCCGTGGACCCCTCCATTAACACCGCAGATAAAGCACCGACGACCTCGCCGCAGAGACCATCCCAGAAGACATGATGCGACAAATTATGAACATCATGGAGGACCAATATCTGCGTAGCAGGGTCCGAAAGTTTTCACGAAGGCTCCAACGTGACAGCACCCCAGAGGCACCCCCCCGTCAACGTAGCAGCCAGGACGATGTCACCTTCGCTGAAGGAAGTCACGGACCACCTTGACGAAGGACCTAGATGTACAGCCGGCGAAGGCCTTCCGCTAAGGCGCGAAAGGACCTAGATGTACAGCCTTCGGCGGAAAGAAAGATGTACAGCCTTCGCTGGAAGGACTTGGCGAAGGCAGGATAGATCATCACCTTATGCGGTTTCATCCCTAGATGTGGACTCGACCATCAGACATCACGGAAGCCTTCGGCGAAGGTCATATCGTCGTTCCCGGACCGACGCAGAGGAAGCTTCAAGGCATGCGCCAAGGACACCTGAATCCAGATCATCATCATCTAGAAGGACATCGAGGGACTATACAAGAGCTTCGCGAAACTATCAACGCCCCTCACAAGTCTCCGAAGATCAACCCATAGACAAGTTGATCATCGATATCAAGTATAAGAACTACAATCGTGATATTGGTTCTGTTGAATCCATGACGGGCGATATGTTCGGCTGGCCTAAATAGATCTAGAGCGATCAATTAGACACTTATCACCAGACTTTGAATAACATCGACTTCTGAATATAAGATGATCCATGCCCTACTTTAGGCAAGCGCCACGATCCCACATCCTGTTAAACACAGAGGCTGTTCACGAAGCAAAGCTCATATATATATATATATATATATATATATATACTAATCGGGCTTTGATTTCGACACCTTCGCTGATGGTCGCGAAGGCTAAGTGGCTCCAAGTCTACTTCACCCAGAAGATCTAGAAGGGATACTTGGAGAACTTCGCGAAGTCTCCGGGCGCTCAATCGAGTGAAGTCTC